GAAACTAATGATACCGTTTTAAATGACGAATTGTGCGAAATCGAGGAACTAAGTGGTTCCAAACGTCCACTAGAAATTTCTGGCAATGATGAGCCACAAAACAAACGTTCTAAAATTGAGGCAACCTGTGAAGAACGGACTCAATAGCTTAAAAACGCGAAATGAGGTCTGAATAACGGACGAACCCACTGAATGCGTGTCGTTTTGCATTCATTTTGAAGCTGACAGCTGTGCAACCTTGCGCTACATACCGGTATTACAGATATTACTGTGCGCTTTAATCCAATCACGTGCTTTTCCTATTATCACTTTTTAACCAATCATATGCTAGATACCTTTTACCGGAAAAGCGGCCCTGGCAGAAATGCAACTCGACCTTGCAAATACTACGTAGTAGTATTTCACATTTTCAACAATCAAACTCAATATATTTTACCGGAAAAGCGACCCTCGCAGAAATGCAACTCGTTTATTTAAATAACCAATTGCGAATTTACAATGTCGGAAGAAGTAGTGCTCCGTAAGTCGGACGGCTTGCTCTACTGTCCAAGGTGCACCGTGCATTACGTCAATGAGCGCGCCTTCCGAGCCCACTGCAAAACCAAGCATGGCTTGAAGGTGACCCTCTTCAAAAAGAAGTCAATCGAAGAGAAAAAGGCCAAGGCACGGCAACGCAAGCCGCAGCGAAAGGCAACGCGCGAAGCGTTGCAAGCGATGGCTGGCAAGACTTTCCGTCTAAAACAGCGTGCACTATTTACATTTGCCGTCACACGCGTCCGTGGGGCTTACCAAGCAGCGAATCCAATCGTGTAGATCGATGATTCGACGGTTCTTGGTGCTGGTCGAGGATTGTTTGCCAACGTGGATTTATCTGCTGGTGATATTTGCACAGTCTATGACGGGGAAAAGGTGTACGAAGAGCCAACGGATCATGAGTACGCGTGTCAGCTTGGTGTTGTGACAACGAAATCGTGGCTCATGGGTCTCAAAGACCCAGTTGCTGGCCGTGGACTTGGGTCCTTTGTCAATCGTGAAACTCGCGGGAGGTCTGGGTGTTTGAAGAATTGCCAGCTCATGAGAAGTGGAAACGTGATTTGTATCAAAATTTTGAAGTCTGTCAAAGCCGGCAAGGAGCTATTTGCTGCATATGGTCGCGGTTACCGACTTTAATTAAAGATGAATCGACTTTGTGTTGTATTGTTCTTGTCATGTACTGCTTGTCACCGTTCCTTATCTGCGTCTTTGCTGTAGAAATGAAGTGCTAGAATATTATTAATCGTCCACAGATGCTATTACGTTCAAGTTATTTTATATTCGTTATTTGTTTTACAACCACATCCAGCCAAACAGATCATCCACGTGCTGTCATTTCGAATTTGAGCCGATTGACTGTTAGAAAATCTGTCCAAATGGTACCACCAATTCCAGTCCATCTTCGCCACATCTTGTGGCATGACGACGCCGAAGTTGAAGAGACACCCCCATCGCCCCCACTATTGGATTACTTTATGGCGAACACAGGGGGTAGTCCATGCGAAGTTGACGTGATCCGCACGCCGAACCCATCGCACGCGATACCCACCCACCTTCGCCACATCTTGTGGCCTGACACTGGCGAAGCAGCTGCTCCTCTGTCACCCCCATTGCACCCGTTGACCGATCTTGTGGAGAACGTATGGGAGGCGAATCACGTGGGAATAGATTGGTGATCTGGACTGTGTGTCAACAGTGGGTGTTTGGGTTTGACGATTCTTGTAGCCTTTATATTTCACAGATGCATGGTTGGCCTTCGAACACCGACAGAGGATGTTAGTCAACAACACGTCCCGCCCATGTTTCTCCGAACGCAGCAGAGGATTCACCGAGACGCATCGCCATTAGTTTTATAGGAAATGGTTTACCTTATAAATTAATATACCGTATATTTCATGCGTCTGGAAATAGATTCACAGATGCTTACCTTGGTCCAGCATCTGGCTGAGAGTTATAATGCTACTTTCCGTTTTTCAGCCTTTTTTTCAGCCTTTGAGTCCATTAGTCAGTCTCAGTTTCGCACTTTTCAGACAATATGTCTGTTTTTCTCAGCTAGCCTAAAATTGACACTACAGTAGAGACAGTGGGAGTTGGGACACCTGCAGAGACAGTGGGAGTTGCTTCGAAAACATCACTCCCCAAACCAGTGCCAATTGAAACGGTAACATACTTAGGTAACATACTTAGGTAACATACTTAGAACGTAGTGCACGTAAAAGACAACAACCCAGTCGCCTGCAGTATAGCTGCAATACTAGTATGGTTAATAAGTTAACCGACAAAATCGCTGTTGATAAGCATCGCATGCGTCATAAAGTACCAAAGTCTTACAAGGAAGCCATGCGATGTGACAATCGCGCCAACTGGGTGCAGGCACTGGATTCTGAATATAACTCACTCATGGAAAATGACACATGGGAGTTATGTCCAATGCCATTGGATGAAAAAGTTCTTCCCTGCCATTGGGTATTTAATGTAAAATATTTATCCAATGGTAACATTGAGCGTTACAAAGCACGACTCGTAGCACAAGGTTGCCACCAAAAAGTTAGAGTCGACTGCGACGAGATTTATGCTCCCGTCGCTCGATATGAGTCATTACGACTTGTACTAGCAATAGTAACTATACTCAATGTCGAGTGTCATCAAATGGATGCTGTTACAGCGTTTCTAAATGGAACGCTAACTGAGAGAATCTACATGCGACAGCCTGTGGGCTACTTTAGGAAAGGACCTAAGTTTGTTCTTCGCCTAAAGAAGAGTCTCTATGGCCTACGCCAGGCACCTAGAATTTGGTACAATGTTCTACATGCTTTCCTCACAGAAATGGGTTTTGTACGGTGCTACAAAGAGTATTGTATCTACGTCCTAAAAGTGGGAGAATTGAGCCAAGTGTTCAGTACCAAAGAAAGTGACTGGGTCATATTAGTTGTATATGTCGATGACATTACTATAGTCTCTCCAAGTGTCCAAAGTGTGAACAAAATAAAGGCTGAATTATCCGGCCACTTTAAGATGAAAGATCTTGGCGAGATCAGTTACATTCTCAAAATGGAAGTCAAACGTGACCGCAACAATCGACTTATGACGATTTCTCAGAATAAGTACATCAATGATTTGATGGAAAAGTTCGGTATGACCGAAGCTTCAACAGTATCGACACCTCAAATAGTAGGACAAGAGTTGATTGCTGAAAGCAACATGTCAAGGGAGCAGATTGATGCACAACGCTACGACTACAGGGGACTTATAGGATCATTGCAGTATCTCGTCAGAGACCTGACATTGCAAATGCAGTTCGCGATCTAAGTAGATTTCTAACATGCTACAATGAAAGGCATTGGCTAGCGGCCTTGCGAATCCTAAGATACTTGAAAGGAACGTCCACCTATGGACTCTATCTCAATAGTAACACAGAACAGATAGACTACGATGTCTTCACGGACGCTTCTTTCGCGAGTCAGTCCAAAGATCGTAAATCCGTCTTCGGATATTTAATTCGGATGGCAGCGATTTGTGTCAGCTGGGCAAGCTCTAAGCAGCACTGCGTAGCGCTATCCACAGCAGAAGCAGAGTTAGTGGCCCTTAGTGAAGCAAAGAATGTGAATGGATTCAAGCACTTTTGAGTGAAATGGGTTTAAAGTTAAGCCGCCCAATTGCAGTTTGGTGCGACAGCCGTGCTGCAATTGATTGCGTCAAAAACCCAGAAAACCACAAGGGTACAAAGCATATTAATATTCGAACACTCTTCACTCGTGAACTGTTTGAAAGGAAGAAAATAAGCCTAAATTATTGCTCATCTATAGAGATGATTGCAGACATACTGACTAAGCCACTGGCTCAGCAACAGTTTGCATGTTTAAGGGCGAAGATGGGTGTGCAAGATCTAGCTATGGTCAAACCAGAGAGCTCTTAGTGGGAGTATTAGCCATAGGCAGACAAGGATTGAAGTTACATAGTTGAAGCTATATATATGTGATTGAAGCTGGAAGAGCTCCAGGCTTCACATCCCTCGACTACTTCAGTGTGTCAAGGGCCAATAGCTACACCTTGTTTTGATCCTACACACACTACTTGAAGGTTGCATATATTGAGTGATATGACAAACTTCAATCAGTGCAGCTAAGGTTGCACTACTTACATGTATGCATGTCTTTGGCGATGATAATTATGGAGGTTCTAGAGCTAAGCTGACTTCTGAATCCACCTTCCTTTGAGCCACTACCCCTACATCTGTGTGTGTTGTGTGCCAACGTCTGTTACATTGCCATACAGATTAACATCTGCTGTATCTATAGGATGGTGATTGGGCACAAACGAATGAAAACTGAGCGTGAAAAAATGAAAACAAATCATATGATACAAAAATTTCGATTCAAAAGTCTTCGTACCCAATGCCAAATTTTGTTGAAGCTCACACACTACTTCACCAAATCACCTCATTAAACATTCAATTCACTTATCAAAGTGAACTGCATCCACTACACCATCAAAGCTACACTAATAGCATGTCAAACGACGCTCCACGTGCAAGCAAGGAGCTCTCACACGAACTGCGCTCCCTTGTTGTATCCAAGCACCTTGACGGGATGGGCTATGACAAAATCGGCTCATGCTTGAGTATCCCCAAGTCAACAGTCCAAAGCATCATCAAAACAACCAAACGACGCCACCCCCCCCGCTCTGGTCGACCTCGTGCAACAACTCCCCATGAAGACCGCATCATCTTGCGTGCAGTCAAGGCCGATCGTCGCCTCAGTGCAGAGTCTCTACAAGTAACGTTTTCTGTGTTCCACGAGAAGGACATCTCGTCAACCACCATCCGTCGGCGCATCCGGGCAGTTGGTTTGCATGGTCGTGCAGCAAAGCGCAAGCCGTTCATCTCCAAGGAGAACAAGTTGAAGAGACTTTCGTACGCCCAAAAGCACCAACTTCAAACCGTGGAAGACTGGAAGAAGGTGCTTTGGACGGCCGAAGTCCTTTCAACTTGTCGGGTTCCAATGGGCGGGTGTATATATGGCGGAGACCTGGTGAAGAGTTCCTTGACGCCTGCCTCGCTCCGAAATTTAAGAGTGGCCGCCAAACGTTGATAGTGTGGGGGGCTATCGGGTACAATGGGACCGGTACACTTGTGTTTTGCGAGGGTAAAATGAAGTCGACAGACTACTTGGACGTGGTCGAGTCGAATTTGCCTGAGAACTTTGCGAAATTGGCGCTTCCGATCGACTTTGAGTTTCTCCAAGACAACGCGCCTATTCATAAAACCAAGATCGTGCATCAGTTTGTTCATGAAAATGCATTTTATATGCTTAATCATCCCCCCCAAAGCCTGATTTGAACCCCATTGAGCATGTATGGGAGTACATGAAGCGTAGAGTGCGTCAATCAGTTGGGCGTGGCAAGTGGCTTGCCACTGGAATGTGTGCCATGGAACAGGGAAGAAGGCTAAAGACAAGAGACGACTAGTTACTAATGGGGGTTTAGTTGAAGAGCTAGTCGTTAATTGTCTTAATTCACTTTGTATTCCACCACCTTCTAGCAACATGGGCGCACAACCTGCCGTAGGCAACTAATCACCTCCTTCATCGCTCGAACAATTAAAACGCCGCTTGATTCGAATCTGGGATAATATCCCAGTTCCTTTCATTCAGGGAGTCATTGATTCAATGCCTAAGCGGCTCAGTATGGTCATTGCTAACAAAGGAGGCGCTACGAAGTACATGGGAAATAATTGTGTTGTGATTGGAAAAAGTCGGACCGGCCATCCGACGCAAATATGATTGGCTTAAATTCGCAAGAATTGCTGACGTTTTCAGCACTTGAGAACTGGTTCACACATTTCGAGTTGGACTTCAGGATATTCCCGCATATGGACCAAACGTGAAATGGTGCGCTGAATCAAAGTTACATTGGAACCGAAGTGAGATTCGCAACATTGAAGGTGCAGAGCTCAAAAATGTGCCCACGGCGAGTAGTATTTGAAAAAGAAACATATTGAAAATTAATTATTCACGTCGACTTAGCGGAATGAGATTAAACATGGCTACGCTTTCTAGCCAAGCGAGCAAACGTCACCATCTTCACTTGAGACAACCTACGCTGGCGACCTTGTTCCGTGAGACCCCAAGAGGATGAAAGGCTCTCAGTGATTGTGGTAAAAGCAGCAATGACGGAGGATGCGATATACGGGCGGCTCAAAGGCCCCCCAGTCGCGCTGCGGTAGATATCATGGAGTCCGTTGACAGCAAATTTCCACTCACAATATATCTTGCCTTGTTTCTTTGTCAAATCTTGTGTGTCGATCTTGTGCAGAGGAGGAATGTTGCGGGCTGGAGAACCACACCACCAATAATGCCAGGCGGTTGCGACATCAACCGAGGGCAACTCGAAGTCCTCTGGCAGGAAGTGCCATCTTCCACCCCAAAAGTGGACCGGGTGGACTGGAGCATTATCGTCCACAGCAGTGGTGACAACAGCACGACTGCTTGTGCAAGTAACCCTTGCGACGGCGTTGTTGAGAAGTCGCTCGAGGAGTGAATGTGTGATGTTGCCCGATGTGATACCCTTCTCGTCAAGAATGCCCTCGATGACAGTTCGGATTTCTCCTGGAAGGTCACGTATAGCGGCCAAGTTTGTCTCAAGTTGGGAATGCAGGCTGACGTGCGGAGGGATTCCAGTTGGTTGCATCATCGTGGAGGCAAGGGTAACCTTGGGGGCCAACCGCGTCACCATCAATGGGTCCCCAAAAAGAACACTGGACAGCAAGGGGTGCTTCGATGGCAGAGCATTCTCGAGGAACGTCTTGTGGTAAAGCAATGATACCAGACAGCTCTTCAAGACTCCTCGTAGTTCTTCATGGCGCCACAATCGCGGAAATACCAGTTGGCCGGAGGCACTCACGGCATCATCGCTGCCAGCAATGAAGTGAGGAGGCAGCACCGCAAAGTCACCACTGCCCCGAGGAAGTCCAGCCACAACGCGTCCAACGTATTGGTCCCCTGCGCCATCGTAATGCACGTACCGCTCAACCACGCTGCCGATTGACAAGCCACACATGATACAAACGTTGACGATTGAAGGCCCCGACGTACTTCCAGCAATAGCGTAAGTTGCAGCTCCTTTTCTCAAGGAGTGGGTTCCAATCGTGTTGATTGATGTATGTAGGCAGAGAAGAACCAACGAGCTGACTGAGGCTACGACCAAAGCGGTCACGCTGCGACAGTCCGGGAAACAAATTCCCCGAATCGTGGGAAGGATTGCAGGCGAGGTATATTCCCAACGCTAAAATACAGCATGTTTCTGGCTGCAAGGGATTGGCATAGACGTGCTTGGGGTCACGACGCTTCGTTCCAAACAGTCTCAGTCGAACATGAACGACACATTAGGTTCCACGAAAGTACAAGAAACAAGTGAGTGAAACTACCATCAAGCTTGCAGAGGCTTGACGCGCAAAGCGCTTGGTACTGGTGAAACGAAGCGGCTGCTTTCCAGACGTCTTTATTGTGCCTGCCTGCATCTCTGTTGCGCAGAGCCTTCTTATTCCTATGGATATTGTGTTGGAGTCTATCAAAATGGGGTCATACCTTGATAGATGGTGGTCGCATCAGAGACAAATCCACTTGGGATCGCCACATTTTGCCTGTTGTAGTAGTCTTTGATGGCCGATCTGTAGCCTGACAACGTTGACAACGATACACCATCGTTCTTGTACTTGTGCAGTACAAACTCTGTGAAGTCTTCATAAGTGAAGACGTCAAGGTCGATAGATCCGTCTGGGTTTATTGAACCGGTTCGACCTGCTGCACGCAGCCACGCAACAATCTGCCGCAGTCCACTGCGGTAGCCCTTCTTGGAGCCGTCGGCTAAACGATTATCTCGTAGGTCTTGCACCGTTGTTGCCTGCTGTCGGGTCGAGACGACGTTACGCGCTTCATCATCTGCCATGGCCCAGGCAGTTTTTGCCAATCACGTTCAACAGGACACGTGGTCCGACTTTTTCATGCAAAAAAAGTCTCGACATACAGTATTTGACTTGAATGCTGTATTCAGAGAACATCGAACGAAAGAAAAAAGTCGGATCCCTCGTCCGACGATCACTTGATTTTAGTATATTCCATCCGACTTTTTCCTGCTAATGAGTTTTTCCTGTTGGGTTTGAAGACTTTTGCCACGGGTCAAAATAGTTTCTATTTCCTAGTTCGCTAAATCTGAGTACCTTAACAACTATTGAGACATATTCTGAATGCCTAAATAGTGAGGAATTAAACGCACCTTTCTACGTAAAAGTGCATACTACATGTAGTACTTCAGAAAATACGCTAAAAATATAATTATTTCGAAGTATTAATAAATGTAATTTTCATACTCGAGGGCAATCTTGCACACGTAGTAGTGCGTGCTAGTTAGCTAGTAGTGTAGTAGTACATATACCAGTATTGTCGCAGTAGTACATTCACGGGGATACTCTTAGATGGAGAAAAATATATTACAAGGTCGTGATGGGGTTTACAACTTGTTCGGGTTGAACAACTTGGGCAACGGTTGCCAGCACTTGTAGTAGTCATGGTCCATTTGGGGGCACGTCATCGCATACTTGGTCACCTTCATGATGTACGTGGACTCGAACATGAACGCTAAGCCGCCGTCAAACTTGACCGGCTTCAGGTCCGCGGATGACGCGGCTAGGAACGTCTCGGTGTCCGGGCCGTGGGCGGTGTGGCAGCTGTGGAGCGAGGCACCGCCGGGGACGAATCCGTCGTCCGTCTTGGCGTCGTAGTGACCGTACACCATGCCCATAAACTCGGTCATGTGGTTGCGATGGTAGTACGGAGGACGGAACGTCTTCTCCTGGACCATCCACCGGGGCGGAAAGATGACAAAGTCTGCGACGGCGCAACCAGGTTCGTCAGTTTGGCACGTGAGCACCGTGTAAATGGACGGGTCTGGGTGATCGTAGTTGACCGAGTTCATCGTGCAAAAGTGGTCCAAATTGTACTTGTACGGGACGTAGTTGCCGTGCCACGCCACGACGTTGAAAGGCGAGAACGTCATGTGGGCTGCAAACATGTTGCCAGCAAACTTGGTCACGACTGTGTAGTTGCAGTCGCGGTCTTCGTACCACGCAGTGGGGTGCTCGAAGTCGCGGGGGTTGGCGAGGCCGTTGGCGCCGATGGGCCCGAGGTCCGGAATGACAAAGTGGCGGTTGTACACTTCCAAGACGTAGCCGCGGACGGGGCCGTCAACGTCGATGGAGAAGCGGATGCCGCGGGGCAGCACCACAATCTCATGGGGCGACACGAGGAGTTTGCCCATTTCCGTGAGGATGCGGAGGGATCCTTCCTGCGGGACGACGAGGAAGTCCCCGTCTGAGTTGTAAAAGCACTTGTCCACCATGGACGCGTTTGCGGCGTACATGTGCACGGCCATGCCGGTTTTCATGGTCGGGTCGCCTGCGCCGCCGATGGTCTTGAGCCCCTGGACAAAGTCCACCGACTCGGAGGACGCCGGGAGGGCCATGGGACCCCAGCGGAGCTGTTGGGGTGTCGTGTGTTCCTTGGAAAAGTCCGTGACCACGTCGCCCGAGGTCACGTTGACGTACTCGGCATGCACGACGGGGGGCAGGATGCGGTACAGCCACGTGCGCTGGTTGCTGTGGCGCGGGAGGGTGAACGCCGTGCCGGAGAGCTGCTCGCAATAGAGACCGTAGTTGCACTTTTGCGGGTTGTTCATGTGCTGCGGCAAGGCGCCCGGGAGCACCTCGGACGCAAAGTGGTTGCCCCACCCGACTTGGTACGCGAGGTTGTTCCAGTCGTCTGTGGTGGCGTCGACGGCGGCTTTCTTGTTGCGAAGGGATGGCGTCATGTTGGAGTCACAGAGGCAAATTGAAAATGGAAATGTGCTGCATCGTGGGTTACGTTAATCGTGGATTTCCATGGGGCGTTTCGTTTCTTTGCGGTTGTTGCAAAGACAGGGTTGCGGTACTTTGTATAGCCAATCACATCTCATCATTCTTGAACTCTAGCCAATGGAAGAGTTGCAATACAAATGAGGCGGGCATTTGCAAACATTTGTAAACCGACAAGTTCAACTTGACGTTGTCATTTGTCATCATTATGAGTTTGACCAGACAAGGGCCATAAGTCGAGCTAGCTCAAAGGTGCAAGTTGAACGGCAAGTTGTCGTACTAGTAACTACCACTGAAGGAAACCAAAGCTTCTATTACAGCGTAGTATGACCCCTTGTTCGGCTTCACCACGCCCACCCGTGCAACTTATCACTCCGTTGCTTCTCTTCACCAACAAGGCGACCTATGCGCCGGTATTTACATGATTCGCCACGTCATAGGAGTCCATCCTGGCTCTGATGTTTCCGATATCACGAACCTCGCCCGCAAGTCCTACCTACATATCAATGTATTCACTGCATACACTACACAGGCGGCCACCAACGATCGTTGGCATTTCGCGCGACTCCGAGATGCTAATACTAGTAATACGTCATAGTAATCGTGCATTCTTCGTAATGTTAGTTAGTTACTACTATGTAACGTTAGTACGTTTTTAGTTACGCCCAAGAATATATTGCTCGTCATCATTCGGGACGCGCCAGGAGTCCGCACCGTCCGAGGACACGATCGTAGTCTGCTTCCAAGGCTTCGTAGAGCGTCGCCAGCAAGCCTTTGCGTCGGTCGGCGCTGCCCATAGCGTCCAGGTCTTCCATGTGAAGGCTATGGAGGCGGCGCTTGACTTCGAGCCGAAACGCTTTGTACTCGGGCTCGTTGGTCCGATCCACGAACCGCAACTTGAGTATTTCGTAGCACCGATGGACTTGCGTTTTGGTCACCTTCAAGCTCTACGTCCGCATATCTCTGGTCACGATTGAATCCACCTCGTCGCGTGGGTACTTACCTTCTTCACCGCGGCCACGTCGTCCGGCGTGAGGGCTCGCGTGCCATGCCCTGCACTGGCGGTGGCTTCGCTTGGCGGCAGCCCAAAAAACCCATGTGACAGGCATGTCTTGACATCCACCACATCCCGCAGCTACAATGATTCACGCGTCAATGCTGCCTTGGACAAGTGAGAGAGACTACCGTGGAGAACCCAGGGACGGGGTCTTCAACTGTCACTTCATGCACGTTTGCTCGTGATCTGGCTTGGTGCATGATGTATTCCACCAGCCGCTCGCCATGGCCTACGACTCGCGGGTTGAAATGCTGCAGGACGTGTGGTACTACCTTGGCGCTGGTACGGCGGCAGCACGAGCACTTGGCAAATGCGAACGTTCTGCATCATGGTCATTGGAGCGTGGAATGTAAACATGGTGATGTACCCCGCAGGATGGAGGTATCCTGCCGACACATCAAACACAACGTAGAGCGACCACCGAGCGTCGTGGACGTCAATGTCGTCGGCCCCTGCAATGAACATGAAGATAGGAATGACATGGAGCAGCCGTTACCTTCGATGAACCAAAGAGATAGCTTCTGCATGCGGTCTAGGTAGGCGGCAGCGGCAGCGTCCTCGGACAGGACTGCGAAGTACGTGGCGAACTCCTTGTCGTCCTTGGTGTACGAGTTCACCAGCGCCCCGGGAGGTTTCGCAGCAGAATGTTCAAGAGCGTGGAGGAATGCTTCCTTGTCTTGCGTGAATCCCTTGGGCAGTGAATGCTCCATCATGGCCATCACATCGTCCGCACTAGGGTATGGGAATTGGTCATGATCATGCATCGTGGTGCTTGTGTATTGTACTCGGTGTCACGATGGTCAAAGGTGACTTCCACAAAGCAGTCAAATGTATTCGCATTGAATGTGAGCATGATGCATAGCCCTTGATACCCACGGATGACCTCGTCCTTCCCAAAGGCATGGTACGTGAATGCGGGATGGAAGGTTGGTTGGCCACTCCAATCCTTGGCATCCTTCACTACAATCAGACGATTCGTCATACCAGTGTGCCTCCATGCGACTACCCACCAATTCGAATGGACACTGCATCGTTCGCGGCGGTGCCTTCGTCTAGCTTGACCTTCTTCGCCACAGGTTCGTCGTCGGCCATGCCTGTTGAAATATTTCCGCGCAATCATTCGTTTGCCGTAATATTGTTTTAATTGGTCCATTTCGAAATCGATTTGACCAATCATATTGTGCGATTCGACGACTGGTTTTTGTCCAGTCGGATAGATCCACTCCGCGAACTCGTTCGAGAGCCAAGCAGTCCCGCGCAGTCACATCATGGCCCGGACAAAGCCGAAGCCTCGAGGGGGCAACGTCGTCAAGGCTGAGCCGCAGGTTAAGATAGAGCCAGCCATCGTCCAGGCCGCGGCGCCGGCTGATGACCATGCATTTCCAGCGGACGCTGCGCTTTCGCCAGAGGACCAAGCCAAGGAAGACGAGTTTGTCAAGAACAAGTGGCAACTGCTCCCGTACTTTCTGCAATTGCGAGGCCTCGTCAAGCAGCACATCGATTCTTTCGACTACTTCACGGAAGTGGATATGAAGAAGATTGTGCGCGCGCAAGCCAACTGCACGATCCGCAGCGACCACGACCCCAAGTTCTTTTTGACGTACACAGACATCAACATTGGCACTCCATCCATCGACGAAGACGCGTACGTGACGACTGCCGTGACGCCGAACCAGTGCCGGTTGCGCGATCGAACGTACTCGGCGCCCATTTACGTGTCGGTCAAGTACCGGTTGGGGCCCAAGGTCGTGACCAAGAACAAGGTGCTTATCGGACGCATCCCCATCATGCTGCGCAGCGCCAAGTGCGTGCTTCGGGAAAAGGACGAAGCGGCGCTCGCGGCGCTCAAGGAGTGCCCGTACGACCCCGGTGGATACTTTGTGGTCAAGGGCTCCGAAAAGGTGGTGCTAATCCACGAGCAACTGTCTAAGAATCGCGTAATCCTGGAAGAAGACCCCAAGAAGAACGTGTGCGCGTCCATCACGTCCTCCACGCATGAGCGCAAGTCGCGCACCAACATCTTCTTGAACAAGGGGCGCGTGTACCTAAAGTCCAACTCGTTCCTGGACGACCTCCCAATTGTGGTGGTGCTACGGGGCATGGGCTTGGTTAGCGACCAAGAGATCGTGTCGCTGATCGGGTGCGAGCCGGACGTGACCGACCACTTTGCCGCGTCGTTGGAAGAAGCGTCTGACTTGAAAGTGTTTACGCAGACCCAGGCGTTGATGTACATTGGCAACAAGCTCAAGAACCGCGGCGGCGGTGGCGGCGGTCAAAAAGTCGCGGACGCGGCGCTCGATGCGCTCGTGATGGTGCTCAATCACATCCCGTGCGAAGACTTTAACTTTCGGATGAAGTGCATCTATGTCGCCCACATTGTGCGCCGCGTGCTTTTGACCGACAAGGATCGGTCGCGCCTCGATGACAAGGACTACTACGGCAACAAGCGCTTGGAACTGGCGGGGCAGCTGCTTTCGCTCTTGTTTGAAGACCTCTTCAAGCGGTTCAACAGCGACCTCAAGCGCCAGGCAGACCTGGTACTGAATAAGCCCAACCGCGCCGCCGTCTTTGATATCATCAAGTGCATCCGCACAGACACCATCACATACGGATTCATCCACTGCCTCTCCACGGGCAACTGGACGCTCAAGCGGTTCCGCATGGACCGATCGGGGGTCACCCACGTCCTCTCGCGGCTGAGCTTCATGTCCGCGCTGGGCATGATGACGCGCATCAGCAGTCAGTTTGAAAAGACACGCAAGGTGTCGGGGCCGCGGTCGCTGCAGCCGTCGCAATGGGGCATGCTCTGTCCAGCCGACACGCCCGAAGGCGAAGCGTGCGGGCTGGTCAAGAACCTCGCGCTGTTGTGCCACGTCACGAGCGACGAAGAGCCCGAGCCGATCCGTCGGCTATGCTTTGACTTGGGCGTGAACGACGTATGTCTTTCGTCGGGGGAGGAGATCAACCACCCCACGACCTACCTCGTCATGCTCAACGGCATCATCATTGGCACCCACGTCAACCCCAAGGGGTTTGTGAGTCGGCTGCGCCGCATCCGCCGCGCGGGCCTCCTCGGCGAGTTCGTGTCGGTCATGCTGCACGACGTCCAGCGCGTCGTGTACATTGCGTCGGACGGCGGGCGTGTGTGCCGGCCGCTGCTTCTCGTGGACGCGGCGACGCAAAAGCCACGCCTGACGCAGCGGCAGATCACGGAGCTGCAGACCGGCGTCCGGACCATCAGCTCGCTCATCCAGGAAGGAGTCGTCGAGTACGTGGACGTGAACGAAGAGAACAACTGCCTTGTGGCGCTCCATGAGCGGGATATTGACGTGAAGACGACTCACTTGGAGATTGACCCCGTGACGATTCTCGGGGTCGTGTCCGGCTTGATCCCGTACCCCCACCACAACCAGAGTCCGCGCAACACGTACCAGTGCGCGATGGGGAAGCAGGCGATCGGCACCATCGGCATGAACCAGTACGAACGCATCGACACGCTGCTGTACACGATGGTGTACCCGCAGGCGCCGATGGTCAAGACGCGGGTGCTGGATCTGGTGAATTTCGACCAAGTGCCAGCTGGTCAGAATGCCACCGTGGCCGTGATGAGCTACAGCGGGTACGACATTGAAGATGCCATCGTGCTCAACAAGGCGAGCTTGGACCGCGGGTTTGGCCGGTGCATGGTCTTTAAAAAGTACCAGACTGTGGTCAAGCGCTACCCCAACAACACGTTCGACCGCATCGTGGGCCCCCCCGACTTTGAGGGCACGGGGTTCGCGTCCTCGTTCCGCAACCAGCGCTACGCGTCGCTGGACGCCGACGGCATTTGCCGCGTGGGCGGCCAAGTCGTCAGCGGCGGCGTCATGGTCAACAAAGAGTCGCCTGCCAACGTCGACATCAACATCACGAGCGACGTCCAGGACGTGAGCTACTCGCCGTCCCCCGTCTCATATAAGAACTCGACCCCGGGATACATTGACAAGGTCATGCTCACGTCCTCCGAGTCCGACCAGTTTCTAATCAAGGTGCTCGTACGCCAGACCAGACGGCCCGAAATCGGCGACAAGTTTAGCAGTCGCCACGGCCAAAAGGGTGTCTGCGGCACCATTCGCAACCAGGTACAAAATATTTTTGATTTTTTTTTGTATAATATTTTTTTCATCCCAACGCCGCGGAAATGAAGCTGGCGGCATAATCGTTTTGGCCGACTGGCAGTTGCACCGCGGGACAGAAACCACCAAAGTTGACTCACTGTTGTGGTGGATATATATGGTCCAGACCCTTGTCATGGTTGGACCATGTACTACTACTACTACATATACATTGTGTGTCAAACATGCTTTATTGCATTCTTTTTTTAGTGTAAATTTTTTTTCGAAAAAAAAGTTTCAATCTCAATCATGGCGTTATAGGAAGACATGCCGTTCAATGATATTGGCATGTGCCCCGACTTGATCATGAACCCCCACGGGTTTCCCAGTCGCATGACAGTTGGCAAAATGATCGAGTTGGTGGCGGGCAAGGCGGGTGTGCTGAGCGGCCGACGGGCATTCGGGACGGCGTTCGGCGAGGACTACGGCACCGCCGACCGCGTGCTCGACTGCTCCAAGGAGCTGGTGAGCCACGGCTTCAACTATGCCGGCAAGGACTACCTCACGTCCGGCGTCACGGGCGAGCCCATCTTGTGCTATATCTTCATGGGGCCGATCTACTACCAGAAGCTCAAGCATATGGTCATGGACAAGATGCACGCGCGCGCCAGAGGCCCCCGTGCCGTGCTGACGCGGCAGCCCACGGAAGGCCGCGCAAGGGACGGCGGACTGCGCCTCGGGGAGATGGAGCGAGATTGCTTGATCGGGTACGGCGCGAGCATGCTGCTGCTGGAGCGCTTGATGCTGAGCTCAGATGCGTTCACGGCCAACGTGTGCCAAGGCTGCCAAATGCTCGGGTACGAAGGCTGGTGTCAGTACTGCAAGTCGGAAGAAAAGGTGGTCGACATCCGCATCCCGTACGCGTGCAAGTTGCTCTTCCAAGAGCTGCAAGCGATGAACATTGCCCCGCGGTTAACATTGCAAGAGTATTAATATACCAATATGGGATGGATGTCGCCCTATAATACACTAACTACCAAAGCGTGGCATCAAACAGCCCCTGTGGATGCAACAATCGATGTACTGTACACAGGTCGATCGTGCAACCACCATAGAAGCAAGCATGTGACAAGGGGAATGATGAGTCTCCTCCACTCGGCCCCGAGTCGCCGGCATACAGTAATTAGTGACAGCACGACAGTATGCTAGCCGAGAACAAGTGGTTGTTAGCAGTGCCAACCCCGCCACGCAGCCCCGTTGTACGGACACTACTGTACGTATATGGCGCCAGTGATCCCGCGTCACAACGGGATTGCAAGCTCAACCCACTCCACATCATGGCATGAGTGTGGTAACGTCACCGCAACATTGCAGGATTGCTTGCAATGTGCCTGTCATTATTCCTGGGCGTTTCGAAACGGCCCCCGCACTTCAACAACGGATGTGCAAATATAAAAATACTATATTAATCGGATTTGCTAATATATATTTGTCGCTGAAGTTGCTACCGATAGTAGTACACAGCAGTGTGCGCCAAACTGCCTCACTTTGTAGCACATTCACTTACTGTTAGTATGATTGTCGTCCAAAGAGTTCGTCCATGAAAACCTTCATTCAGGCAACATCTGCCGAATTAATAGTATCTCGCGCCATATTTATTTCGTACCTCGAAAATGGAATAATCATGAAATATATGGCGAAACGTGTGTGCCGCCCAACTCAGTTTTGAAACTGTCATCACTCCATCGAATTTCCATGTTCGATATTAGAGAGTTTTCGGTAGTCCACTTTTGAGTTGAGATAGCACAAAATACTCTATAAATCTATAAGCCTCTAAAATCACGTTCTCCAAATTGTGTGAATCTCAACACATTTCGGAGATTCAGGCACCTCTATCTCCCAAACTTTGCTGAGGTAGATACATCGTCGATGCCGATAACATCCGGATAATAAAACAATTGATGACCATTCCTTCACTTCGACTCCTGCCATGTCAACAATCGACAGCCGAGCCAACCCAGTCGTACAAGTCGACGACGCCCAATCCCGTCCCGGAAAGTTCGACTGCTTCCACGACATCCAGTTGCTCAAGCAAGTCAACTTGTCGAAGCCATGGGAAGCGGGCTACGGCAAGGTGATGGCGGCATGGGTTGAAGTCTGTCGGGAAGTGATTCGCATCCCTGGATTCAAGATCAACAAAAAACCCGAGGGCCTCAAGACCCGGTTTGATCTGCTGATCAAGACGCACTGTGAAGGCGAGATGGCTTCGATGCGCAAGTCCGGTACCAGCGAGGATTATACCGAAAGAGATCTTCTGCTGACGGACATCAAGGCCCGCATGGACGACTTCGATGAAACCGCAGCCGCCCGGAAGGACAGCGTCAAGCGCAAGATCGACAGCATTGAGAACTCTGGGACGTTGATGCGGCGCATGGCAATGGGGAATCTCGACGGCCAGGGCGACGAAAAGGATGAAACGCCAAGGAAAAAAAAGAAGAATCAAGCCCCAAGTCTCGATATTTCATGTTTAATGGATACCATTAAGAAGGGGATCGACGAAAAGGTAAAACGAGAGGCTAAGCATGCTGAACTTCTTGAAGAGCGCCTCGCCTTTGACAGGGCCCAAGCACAACGGCAAGAGAAGCAGCACCAGGACCATCAACTAATCATGCAACAATTGCTGGCAAGTCTCATAAAAAAATAGGAACAATGATTTGAATTCCTAAAATACCTGGAATGTTTGCTATCTTAAGGCTTAATCGACACTACATAAGGGTAATTACTCGCATGTGTAGGGTAATTGATACATAATACGGATTTATATCCTAGTTAATCATGAAACAAGGAAAACACAGTTTTCTTTTGACAAAACTAACGCAAAATGAAATAAAATACCTCAAATACAATAATAGTCATGTTACTTAGGGCTGTAGCAACAAAAACATTTGCAATTAAGTATGGAACACAATGAAAAACCTTTTATTGCAAAATTAGGCTATTTTTTACTCCTAGGGGAGTGCTGATGACAAGTATACGTCGAGACTTGGCGGTTTCACATCAAAGTACATGGATATCTGATTTCCATCCGGCTTCAGGCACGTGTGACAGTTCGTCAAAAGTGTTGCAGTTAACCACAGCAAGCCAATAGGACTTCCTCGTACTTTCATCTTTTTGTCGTAAGATACGTACGGCCACAAACCTTTAACTAAGTGGAAGCTCCATTCGACGGACTCGCGCACGGAACTCATCGATGAATTGAAGACTGCCTCAAATGTTCCCGGTACAGCATTTGCAAACGGGCAGGACAGACACTGACGGCATCCATATGCCGGATCGCCGTACAGACAGAACCGCGCCAAGACTGGGTTTGCCTTGAACCGATCCAACAAACAACTCATTGAAAGCATCGTCGAGTCGTGGCGTCGGCCTTCAACGGGCCCGTACATGCCGACGATGATGCCGTCGGGGACGGAAACACCTTGCCAGTTGAGACAATGGCGCCGTGGGTGACCATTGTAAACGACGCGCTGGAGGTTCTCGGGCTCCGATGCCGTGGGTCGTGGAGTTGGGCGGCTGATAAACTGCTTGGTACCATCAATGAAGGCAATGCATGTCTTCATTCCGCGGAGGCCGCTCTTGGTTTCAATGGCTTCAGCGTACGAATCTAAAGAGAAACCATGTTAGACTCATACGAACAAGGCAATACATACCTGCACGCAGTGCGGTCAGACGCTCATGGAAGTACATCACATCGTGCCACTTTCGATAGATTGCGTTCACCACAGCATTGATGATTCGACTGCAGGCCTCCAACGATCGTCCAAATTCAGATGCGATTGTGTACAATCGACAAGTCTCTGCCATCCGTCGGCATACGATGGCAACTGCTTCAACTGTGTCGACCTTGTCGTGCCATGGCGTGACCGTGAACTCTGGCAGTCGCAGCTTTACACATAGAACGGCAAGTTGGTCGATCGAAAATCGAAACTTGGTGCGGGCGGTGGCAGCATCCATGTGCCGGTCGAAGTTGTTGTTGTAGTTGATTAGGGGGCGCGGCGCTCGCAGGCGCAGTACGTTAACTCCAATCAAGACTTCGAGGGTGTCCAAGAACGTATCAAAATCACCATGACATTGCTCTAGCAGTGCAGTTAAGAGAAGCACGACATCGCGGTTCCGAAGCACTGGTGGTAACCGCATGACTCGCAAATTGCTGGTTGTGTGAACAATACGTGTCATCCGTATAGTATCCGTTCAATCTACCTACCTTACTTTTTGTCCGAAAGGAGCCGAAATGTACCTCAAATTTGAGTATATTCTTGTCCGAAAATGTTGTTTTTCTACTTTTGAGTTAGAGCTCCGAACCTCGAATTCTATCTCAAATCCACTGTCCGAAAACTCTCTA